CGCGGATCCCAAGGACAAAGCAAACCTACTCTGAGGATTAACGCCTCCGTATCTGAGCATTTGCGTACGATGATCAGGAGATATGTAGCTAGAAAGAGACTCCTAGATTATAAAGGCCCGTTAAACGCGTATCTGAATGCAGTAGACTCCCGTCCTAACCGATATGTATCAGTCTTCACCCTCAGACTTATGTTGAACACCGATTTTAACGACACCCGCCCGTACAATCGCAGAAACCACAATTCATATGTGAAAGGTATCATATATAACAACTTAAAAGCACATGAATGCTACTGCCGTCGCTGTAGATCGATGCTACAATGTGGTGCTAGATGGTGATATAATTCCTGGAATAACAATGACTCCCGAGTGGTTTCAACATATGAAACAAAAAAAAGTAGTACCTGAACGCCCACGGCCCTTCTCTCAGTTCATGATCAAACTTGGCTGTCCGAAAGCTCGTATTCATCCACAGATTGCCGCCTTTGCTTCCAGCTACGCCGTCCCTTTATGAACCAAAGCCATGCCAAAACTGTCAATATTGTCACTCCTGTAGCCATCACCACATAGATCCAGATTCTTGGGGATACCTCCGTTTCGCCCTTTTCTGACTCTGGCTGCCAATTAAAGAAGGACATTGAAAATACCATCTATAGCTCGACGTCAGTCAAGTTGACTTCATCTATACGATGGGATCTCTGAGGGAATCTAAGAAGCGATTTGTATAACTTACGGCTAGAAATGTCGCGGGGAGAAAGACCATTGTGAGCAGAGCAATAGATTTCATCTGAGTGCTGTCCGACTTAGTTCTTGACGCTATCTCCATATTGGCTTTTGTGTGTGCCTGTCATTCAATGTTCAAGTTAACGAATGATAAAAACGAAAGCGAATAAAATGAACAGGGAGAAAAGAGGTAATCATCTTACCATTTGGTTCGCTAGACTCATTCCTTCCAAGTTTCTTTCGCAGTCTCTTATTCTTTCGTCATATTCGCGAATAATGTCTTGTAGCCTTTCTTTGATTCTATCTCCGGTATCCCGCATGAGTTTTCGAAACTCGTTGATATCTGAGCTTTGATTTATGTCATGGCTGAAGTTAGTGATGTTGAGCTCTTCTGCATGAGTAACCATCTTATTTAACTGGTCCTTCCAATTCAGTAAGCCATTCTTTTTATGGAAGATATCCAGCCAGGGATCGACCTCCTTGTTTGCGGTCAAATCCGGCCCTGGACTATGGCTATCATGTGGTTTCTGGCGTGGTCTTTCAGCATCAGATGGCATATGGTGGGCCTCATGAAGAGTTGCCACAGTCTCCACGAGCTTAAGGCTACCTTGCTTCACCATCTTAATCTGCCTTTTTCTTTCGAGCTCAGCGAATATGCCAGGTATCAGCAAGGGATGACATATGGCATCGCCAGAGTAACGCAATCTTCCAGAAATCTCTACTTCCGTAGACGGATCGCATCCGTAGACAACAGCGTACCAAAAGTTTCGCTCTGGAAACCATGTCATTGACATTGCCAAATCGCCGGGCCAGGATGCGGGTGAGCGGCAATTATAGACTGAACTACATCAGTATTTCCAACAGGGTATTTAAAGAGAACAACACCATTTGCCAGTAAACTCCATACTTACCCACGATAGGCTCTGATGAGATGTCTTGAGTGAGGAAGCTTCGAGAAAAGACACACGACAGTCCCCTGTTGATGAGTCTTGCGACTGAACCATGTATGTGAAATATTTCAAGCATGTGAGACCATGTTGCTTCCGTGAAGGGAAGTTTAGAAAGAACCGATGGATCATGACAGTCCTTCCCATCAGTCTCGTCCTCTGCAGCTCTAGCTGCCAGCCTAGTAAATCTTATGAGCTGCACGAGTCTCTCCAGATAGCGGGCTCATATTGAACTTACACGGCTACACCTCCGAAAGATTGAAGGCCGTTTGACCTACTTGCGGCTCCTTCCTGTACCAAAGTTACCATCATTGCCGTTATGGAGCAGGTTCAGCCTTACCTGGCGGAAAATATCCTTCCACTCGTCTTCTGTTCTCACCTGTCTTGCCTCGATTCCCTTTTCGGTATTGTTAGTATTCAATACATACGATACTATGAGCTTCTCGTACCTTTTTAGCATCTCCGTTTACTACTCGAAGAACCTGACATAGCCGAGGCCGGTACTCAAACGTCTCCAGGTCTCGGATCCCCATTTGGGGATTCTTGCGTATCCAGTCCATCTCGCTTCTATTGCAAATTCGCACGGTAGGTAAAGGTACGTCGTAATGCTGGAGATGATCGTGAAATCGATGCGCTGATGGCTACAAGATGTTGCCTGTGACAAGAACCTGCTGCAGTTACTCGGATCATCGACAGCAGTCGAAAGAGTGGGGATGGACAGGTGCATATGACAGTCAACCGGCCAGGCAGCCAGGCCCAAAGTTGGTGTGGCTGCACAAGTTATGGTATGTGTCACTCTCGGTGCCAGCCATGTGTCAGGCAGATTCTATGGCTGAGCAGGCCAGCCAATCTCATCAGGAGCACACAGCCAATCTACGCGGGCTGACTGGCATACAGCAGGCTGAGCCGCAGCACGCCGTCTGTCCTCGACCTGGTGAGTCTCAGCAGAAATCGGTATTTCGCTTCGACCAACAACAAATAAGCCCAAGTTATCACATGGGCATGAATTTCGGACCATGCATTCAGAGCTTCCCACTACTGGGCAACACAACATGTCAATCAGCGTTCATCTGCACATTATGATCACGGAGCCTCAAACCCAGCAAAAATGAGGCTTCTCACTGCAGCAAGACATTTGCTGCACTTCTTCAGCACGGTGAGACGACCAGTATTCCCTTGATACGAAGCTCTTCCTAGGGGCCAGACAATAATAAACAGATCAAGCCTTCGCCACCCCCGGTTCAAATTTGTTTTTCCACTTTTTCCCCATGCTTTCCAGTGTCTTATCCACTGCCTAATTTAGCAACACCATTGCCATATACCCCGTGATCGCAGCCCCATCCTACGACACCACCCAGCCCATCCGAGTTTGCTGATGACAGCATCTTGTTATGCCTTCCCGGTCGCAATCGTCTTGGGTCCCGCAGCAGGTGGCCATCGACTATCAAAGGAACGACCTTCTCAGGCGTGAACTGGACCGAATATTTGGCAGGGAACAGTATCGTATTCACGGGGTATGACCTTCCTGGAACCTTAGAAAACTCCCAGCTGACCCGGCTTTCTCAGATCAGGCTAGACCACTATCAGCTCTCTCTCCCCCGAAGGCTTGAGCAGGTAAACTCCTTTATACAGATGAGGGTGTGGAGAAGACCCCAGATTGAATCTAACTTCGAGAAGGGGGAGATTGATTCCATCAACCGACGAATGGCACACTACAGGACCCAATGGGAACCAGAATAACTGTCAGACGGGACGGGCCGCACCCGCACCAGGTCCTTGGCCTCGAGCATGGACGAAGGGATTCACTCCGGATTGCCTCTCCTCCAGTCCGTGGGCTCCCATCGATTTGGGCAAGTACGTGTGACAACGCCATGTTGCTTTGGTACAGGATCAATAACCGTTATGGCCTGGCCCAAGAGTCTCTATGTAATTGTCTAGTCTTCATGAACTCGAATGAAATTTCTCTACGCGCCGTACTTACCAGAAGCCCTTGTTCCGATCACAGTGGGTAACGACAAGCCCGACGAAGCATAGCCCCAAAACCCCTGTCACAACAGTTGGGCATCTTACTTGCCAAGACCCCTTCAGGTTTCTTACCAAAGCCGTAGCTCTATCCACGAGGAGCCTGCCTTATTTAAGGGGTCTAGGCGCAGCCGTGACGCAATACCTCTCGTTTTCCCTACAAACTGTCAAGAGTCTGTGAAGAGTGTTCACGACTTCAGAACAGTCTACCCTTTCTTTCTTTTCTATGCGCAACATGTCGTTCTCCACAAAATCGAGGAATTCATGGATATACTCCGTACAGTTCGGGTGCGTGTGTAAGTTGGAAATCCACTTGGTGCCAAGGTAACGTCAGCTTGAATTGCGTGTGAAGAGCTCAGTACTACTCCAGTGGTTGGGTTGGACTTACCATACGCACACAGTCTTTCAGGCATGCCTTGGTAGAACCGTGGGTCAGTCTAAAAAAGTTGTCTTCGGGAATCCAGTCGGCGTCTTTGTTGATCAACCTGTCTTCTTCAAGTCGCATCACAGACACCTCGTCGACGTCTTCCCAGCCTCCCATAAACCATGTGATGAATTCCAGGTAAAGACACCCTAGCGTCCAAATGTCGTAGTGCTGATTGACACCCGTCTTCAGGTCAATTTCAGGGGCTCTGTAAGTGTTCGAAAATCCAACAGTTCTTTGCGACTCTCTTTCAGATACTGACCGGCGGCTGTGGAATCTTGTGAGCCCGAAATCTGAGATTTTGAGTATTCCAATATTGTGGCGAGATATTCTGTCCGAGTCCTTGAACCAAAGGATGTTCTCCGGTTTCAGGTCGCCATGCCTGCCATATCTTTGTCTGTTCGAGTCGTCGCCGCCAGATAGAGCCGTTTTCTGGCTCAAGGGATCTACTTTAGACGTGATGCCATTTACCTTGTAAATGCCTTGGCCAAGTGGGGTTCGGCTCAGCTCCTCGGTCGTTCTATGATTATGGATTTGTGCCAAGCCAGAGGCAATGCCGTGACATACTTCGGCCATCCAGATTGTGCCTTCCTGTGAAGGCTGAGTCATTGGTGATTCAACGTGTTCCCAAAGGTCTCTCAGGTTCCCGTCTGCCCAAGGGAACAGGAGGCAGTAATCATCTTGATGCTGGTATGTTGCCAGAAGGCGGACGAGGTTCGAGTTCGATCTGCTGCTAAATCGTTTGAGGGCGTCGACTTCCTTCTGAAAGTGCTTTTCATCCCTTGAGTGAAGTTTTTTGACCGCAAAGTACGATTCACGCCCCTGTGATGGAAAGCTTTAGCTTCTCCCAACTAGGTAACCACAATAATGTTCAATGAGTGGTGTCAACTTGCCTCTAGAGATTTGAAGTTGTGATGAGACTCGTGAATCTTCACTTTCTTCACCCAGCTCTGGCCCCCGTAGTACTCCGCTGGTGCAATCTCCTCTTCAGTCCACGGCATGACAGTTTGAGGTGCTAGCCTGTAAAACAGCACTTTCTCTCTTGCGTCATCTGCCGTCGAAAAGTAGGGTGCCAATAATTTCCACTGCCACTCCTCAAATGCACGCAGCTTGAATGTCGACCAAGACCGGAAGCAGGCGAAAGTGTTGTTCCTGTGAGCGCTTCTCAAACCATCATCAACTCTCTTCAGAGGCAGATCAATGTCTCGAAGATCGGCAGCTCTCAGATCGGTGAAGCTATCCAGCTTTTCAATCATAATAAGAATGGCAAAGAGCCTCCTTCCTGAAGTGAACTTGAGATGTTTTGCGCCCCCGATATCTTGCCTGTTGCAGACGTACTCGATGCATGCCTGCAAGTCTGCATCTCTGGACAGATCTTCGAACTCCGCTCTAAGCTGACGCTCCACGACCTTTCTGGTCACCAATTCGTCAAGCTTGGCCAGCGGAAGAAACTCTCTACCATCCTTTTGCCGGACTAAAGCCTTTATCAGCGATTCTTGCAGGTTGTTGCGCTCTCTGACAGCAACGTCTGGCGTGACTGGACTCTCGTTGACAAGCCCGCGGAGAGTGTCTATGACAGGCACACGATCGCTTTCCTCGTTCACATGCCTAGAGGATTCCCGATTCATGTGATACTGCGAAATTCCGTAATCATCGCAGACACTATCGGTGCCAATGGAACGAGGTGGGTGTCCATTGCTGTGACCATTTTGGACTGAAACCCCAGAAACAGCTTCGTTTTCTGAAGTCTCTACCAAGGGTGCGGATGAAAACAAAACTCGTGCAAGGCCGTTGGCGCGGGTCCCGGTACGACGGGGGTTCTCCAGAAAGTCTTGTTGACCACGAATGGCACTCCTGGACGGGTCCCGCGACGCCGCTCGGTCCCGGCTTTCAGAGTGTTGGACGTAGGACATCTAGACAAGTCTCAGATAAAAGAAACACCGTAAAGTACAACGACATGCACTTACCAGATCCGGGACCGAGACCTGCGGGTAGTCTAGATCCACACCGCCTGCGAGATGATCAGGACTATCACCACTCATATTGATCAAGATTCGGAAGTGGTAATAATTGATATGGTTCGCCGCAGACTTGTTGTGGGAACTGTAGGCAAATTAGAACTCCCGACTTTGGAAAAGAAGGCACTTTTAAACACGTTCAGATGAGAAATTTCATAGCCTTGCCTCAACGCTGCGCAGCCGCCACCCCACATTCTTGTCAGGGAGAGGGTGCGCCACCAATTGGAAATGGATATTCAGTTGGGAGGATTTGGTCATCGGCAGGCTCAGCTGCCGTATCCAGTGCTGACGCCACTGTCTTGCTTACTGGAAAGGCTTCATGTCAGGCTGATGCATGTAAGTATTGATGAAACCCACAGCGAAAAGAAAAGATGACATCTCTCTGCAGCCTTTTTTACTGTATGATGAAATCTTTACTGTCTACTAAGCCTTACCAGAACCGACGGATGGTCAAGCGTGAGGTAGAGGGTAGAGGATGACCAGTAGTTATGGAATGTGCAACATTCCAGCAGCTGTCAGAATTGAAGCTCTTCGAACCCTTGATGCTTCTATTGGGTCTCCCTCAAAGGTCAAAAGTTCTAGTGGAAGTCTTTTAGCGGGCTGTTCGTCCCGTCGCGGTCATCATTCTGGCTCGACACTTCACTCCTCCACGGAATAAGTGAAGCGCCGTTCGGTATCTCCACCGCGACCAATGTGCAAACAGAGGCAAGGCAGACCAATTGTATCGCATTCCTATCACACCCGCAGTGCATGTCGTTTAGACAAGGGATTGCGTTCCGGTGACCTTCGTAGTGGTTGCGGGCTGACGGCTGAATACCGGTGGTTGGAACACGAACAATCCATCCGGCCCCCTCAGGAGGCTGTTTGCAACGCCCCGATGCGTGCGGCTGATGTCAAACCGAGACAAATTGGGACGCCAAGGATGACCACCAACGCAGCCTGATTATCGACCCGCGATCAAATGCATGGCTACTCGGGGATCCCCGTATCTTCAGCAACTTTTCGCCTCCGTCCCCAGGCACCATCAACATCGCCGCAAGTTGTCGAAGTCTAATTGAATAGACCCACTGCAAAACACTTATGTTCATGACCCTAGTGTCAAAATGGGTTACAGGTTGGTTGAACGATTTTTAAACCTGACAATCAGTTGTGAGCGGAATTGAATCAACTTTACTGACAAGTCCCCAGTTCATCTTCGAGTGCATCTTCCGGTTACATGACGGGACAAGTCTTGCCGTCAAGACTCGTAGATCCTCGCAAGCTTTCTTCGTTGTTAAAGCAGAAATTTGGAAGCAGAGGTGTCGGGTACAGGGTTGAAGTAAGAAACCACTTGTCTACAGTAGATTCGCAAGCAGTTCTCTAAAGTAGTACCGGCTTAGATGCGACATAATACCTATCGTATATACGCCCAAAAGCAACTGTCACCGGTATGATATCTACTCCAAGAACTGCCCGATCTATGCTAATAAGCACGTTCAGAACGAGTTGAATGATTGCTACTATGGCCAGTGTCGATAAGTGCCGTTTGGTGTGGGAAATGGTACTTAATGAGCATTGTACTTCTTTCAGACCACGATATCGTCAGTCATACATCGTCACTGTCGGTAGTGTAGCACTCTCTTCACTAAGAATCACCACAGACCTCACAGGCCTAAGAGTTCGCCTCTGTGGGATGAAAGAGGTCTCTGTTCTATTCCGATTGGGACAGGTCGTCCATTACGTCAACGCGCAAACAAGCCTTTTCATTTTTCAAAATCTGCGAGTTGAACTACATCTTTTACTGTCAATTCGTAGGTCGCTTTTCGGTACTCTTTCAAATCCAAAAGCAGACTACGACGACGTGCCAAGGGAAACAATTGAGGGCGTACACAATGCCATCCGAAATACGATGTTACCTCGTGACCAAGACCGCGGCTAAGGGGCGTGAATAGAGTATCAAATATCAATGCGCGCTTGTAGCAGATGAAGTGAATTAGCTTGTGCCAACTGGCGTTTATGAGATGTTGATCGATCTCTAACTCCAAAAATCATGATTTGGTCCTCAATGATCCCGAGAAGTCCAGCTTCATTCTTCATCAGAGCTACTGCATTCCGTGCCCGAGCCATAGACAAGCCAAGTTGCCACATACTCCAAACGTTTCTTTTGCTTTTTTGTTGGGGTGAACCGTTCATTGTAAGCTTCCCAGACCATTATTCGTGTTTGGTCACTGAACCAAGATTTCTTCATGACGTATTCAACAGCTTGAAATGCCGTGTTGGAGCACTTTCCGTCGAAGTCTGTGGGGTCAAGCTCATCCATTAGGAATAGGTAGACCAACTGAAAAGCAGCATCCCTCGACTCTCGGATAGCTTCCTTTCTTAGAGTCAAGGAGCTCCCCAAGAACGGATAGAGTCTCATCTTGTAGAAGATGGCTGATAAATCATTTTGGCTAATTATATCCACGGCGAGAAAGTCCAAACTTTCGCAAAAAGATCGATATTCCTCCAAATCCGAGGGCATCTTTCTGAAGAAGTATCGATGTCCGAGTTCAATGGCGTGAGCGATCGTATCGAAATGCGGAATCGGTCCATGGGCTGGGATAGCACATTTCGATAGTCGTTGAAAATTCTTCAAAGACCTGAAATAGGGACTTTTGTCCACGTCAATCGCATAGGTCTTGTCCCCAACCACAATCGGAGTAAGCGATGCATTGCCTTAAATACCTGTCAGCCTATTTTTCTATCGTCAGCAAATGATAGCATCCAGTTACCTCGACCAGCCGACATGGATTCAAGAAAACGATAGTTTGCAAAACATTTGTCAATACAGTCCTTTTGCTATGTGCAGATAAAAGGAAGATTCAAAGAGCAGGTGCGCACTTTTTCATCTATGGCACCTGTCCATTTGCGAAAGGGGAGATACACTTTGTGAGGCCATCACACTCCAAGGTTTACATCTGATGGTACTGACACCCGTGGAAGGCCTCCGGCAGAAAGCCTGGTATCGCGAGCTTTCATCAAGTCTGATGCATGGCACCGTAAAGCACGGGCGTGGGCCATAACCACCTATATTGAAATCGCTCATGTGAGTATGTACGCAGTTCGAACTTGCACTTATGTGAGGATTGTAGGAACATCACACAGAATGTGATCGTAATTGTGTCTTATTATGGATTAGGACCGAGGCCACAGATAGTGAGAACCACAGCCTTCAATCTTCGTATACCAGACGCTCACAATAATAGGAAATCTACCACTCCTTCGGAATGGGAGTAGGCCGCTCATCTTCCGGAACCTTCAACCCAAGCCCCTCCAAAACCTTGTCCTGCATGGGCTTGAGGTAGAGAATGACGTGGTTGTATCTCCAACCAATGACCGGAACCATAGCACCAACCATCGCATCGAGAACAAAGTGATTCGCCGTCGCAACAATCGTCAGGAACATGGCCATGGGCCACAGGGGCGCGATGAGGCGGAGCGGGCGGTGGGGCGAGAAGCGGCAGATGGACCATGCGAGGAACAGCGCGGTACCACAGTGAAGACTCGGCATAGCCGCAATCGTGAGCTGGAACTTGTTGTGAGTCCACGCGTTTCCTCCTCCCTGTGCGCTATGCAGAATGTCGATGAATCCGTATTCGGCCGGCAGCAGTCGGGGTGGCATGCAGCGCCACGAGGTGACGATGAAGAAGGCGACGACGTTGTCCATGGCGATCGTTCGGCGAATTCGTTGGAACGTGCTCGGGGGCAGGAAGGAGTACGTGTAAATGATGAAGCAGATGCCGAGGCTGATGTGTGAGTAGTAGATCTTAGCCAGGATGGGCATTAGCCATGGCACGCTGTTGAGAACATATTGCTGGACGCCGAGCTCGATGTCGAAACCGAAGAACCTCTCGAAGTGCAGGATACTGATGGCATGGTCACGGGCGCGGTTGAAGACAGCTTCGTTGCCGGCTATCATGCGTGCCGAGAACGCACGGAGGAGTTGATAGACCCTGGTGGTGGAAGTAGAGTTAGACCCCTGATCCGCACGGTACCACACCAACAAGACACAGGACGAGACGAGAAAAAGAAAACTTCAGGGACATTTGGCTTACCAGTATGTCAAGTTCCAATACCAAATCTCCGAAAGGAAGGGGAATGTTCTGTAGAACCGAACGAGGAGGTTGCTGTTAACGCGGGACCCCTCCGCCGCCTCCACGCGCATCCCCGGCTTGAGGAGCGGAGAGGTGGGGCGAGACGACGAATCCTCCGACCCACGCTCGCAGGCGTCTACGTCATCATCATACTCCGGTCTGCGGCGGTTGATGAGGGTGCCTATGGTGAACGCAAAGACGATGACTGGAGAGAACACGGGTCAGAGTTTGAACGAGATGATGCTAAGAATTTGCGCCAGTCTTCGAGAAGAAGTGGTGTTTGTCTCAGTGGAACTTACATGCCGGCTCGACCACGTTCTTCAGGGCTGGGATCGACGAAGCCATGGTCGCAGTCTAACCCAATGAAAAAAATGGAGAGAAGAAAGTCAACGGGGAAATCTGGAGCGTCCCGAAGGGTATCACGACATCCGTCTTGATGTGAAGAAGGGAACCGGTGCTGTCTCTCTCCAAAGGAGACAGGGAAAGGAGTGAATGATAATCGATTAATACTTGTAAAATGCCAAAAACCTCCCAGAGACTCGTAGCCACCTGGGGAAGAAAGGAGAGGGATGACGAGGCTAATAAGAATCCCAGGGCACAGCTGCTGCCTCCAGGCGGAACAAACCCACTCGCGGGCGCGGACGCGCCCCAGTATCCAGCATAAAAAGCAGCATCGGGGCCAAGCATTGTCAGATCGGCGTCCAGGCGTTGTTGGGATTCCTATTTTTCCCCATCAGCCTTGGACGACACACGTGCGGGTGCGACCACACAGAGCCGTCTGATAGGGGGTTGCCAAGGGGGCTGTAGCAAAGAAGGAGCGGCGGGGACTGGAGACACGACTGACATCCCGGGCGTTGACTGGTCTCGGCATGTTGGCGGTACTGGAAGAAGGAGGGCACGCGACCTAGGGGGATCCCAAGCCGTTACGCCGCCCATCGACGCGTGTGTGATGCGTGTGATTGCGTCTGTACCTCGCAGTATCAAACCCAGTTTTCATTCCGCTCCTTGCTGCGCCCGGTCTCCACGTAGGACCACCTGTAATCAGCATGAACTGACGGTGGGAGACACGTCGGAGGAACACTGAATAAGGGATGTGGGAGCAGCAGTCGCAAAGAGGAAAAAAAAGAATAATCCATTATTTACTGTGGAACCGTTCATCCCCAGTTCCGTTTCGTCTTCCACATGTCGATTGGATGTTGGCGGAGCCACTTCCTGAGGTTTTCTCGGCAGCCGGAAGTACCGGATCATTGACAGGGGTGATTTGTCGGGTGCCAAGTCGCGCCCGACAAAAATACAGTAATCCGTTAAATTAGAGTATCAGAAACAACTGAGCACCTCGCACCTCGCACCTCGCTCTTGATCCACTCGCGGAGTGTTGTATCCTCAGGCTATGGGACGGACGGTGGAACTCATCCGTCACCTCGTTAGGTGATTTGTCGGTACGGTTTGGCTACGCTGTCAATGTTCGACGTGCAGAAACTCAATCGTTGTTTTATTCTGCCTGAACTATGCGCGTGTCGAGTCATGCCTCTAACGGCTCTAATGATCCAGGAATAGGAGACTTGCGGGAACCTGCGCTTTCACGTCGGACCACCCAATTACAACATCAGACCAAGGAGGCATTCGAGCACCGCGCGCAAATAAAAAAGGACAAAACCGCCCGCTGTCAGACCTGGTTCTTTCTGTACAGCAGGGAATAAGCCCTTTCCCCAGTTTGCAAATACCAGTGCCAAAAAAGGCAAACCGTTGTCCTCGCAGTACAAAACGTCAGGCAAGGTCCGAGGGACGAACAAGGCTCTGCCAGAGAATAAGCTGCAGGATCGGCAGCTAAGATCAGAGCTTGATACGCCGCCACCCTTGGCACTAGCGAGGCCAGCGCATCACTTCAAGCAGTTTTTTGAGGACAGGCATCTTGGCTGTGAGCGCCTGTTATGCAATCGATGAGGCGAGGAGGATTTGCTGATGTGAGAATGCCATGATTATTCCTGATAAGGCAGATTATCGTGTGCAGGGCGGCAAAGGCTAGCGCTGAGAACGGCAGTTGGACGCCTCAAAATTGATGGACGGGAAATTCCATGTCACCGCCGCCTTGTGGATGCTGTCATGGTGATGGATCGGGCCATTCCAGGGGCGGCAGCACTTACGGAGGAGCATCCTGTCCCGATGAGGATCGGGTATCGGACTGTCTATTGCTTGTTGCGAGGTTCCCGAACTCCATTGGACCGTCGGGGCGACAAGATTAGGGAGGCAAGATATCGGCGCCCGGAGTCTTAACTCCCCGGCCTCGGCCGAGGTTCCAGGGTGACGGTAGTCAATTTGCAACCCGGCGGGACATTCACATCTCTTAAAGCAATTACACCTTGGACGGGAAGGCTTGGCAACGGTCTGTGTTCCCACTTGGAGCAAAGCATGCCATTGTCAATACGCGGCAAGAGGTCCATATGAAGTGAACCCGCGGTTACGCTAACGACATGCATTCCGTCACCATCGCCGCGAAGGACATTCTAGACCTTCCGGATACGCCGGAACAAGCTGGAAAACACCAGAATCGACATCTAGAGTTCGCCGGCGTCTTCCTCAATCTCCATACAGTCGAATCCCTCGGCGCCATTAACGTTCTTGCATAGCCATTTATCGAGGACGGCCTCCTGCGACACAGGATGGACGGTGAAGTTCTCGACAGTCAGGTTGGTGCACCCGCCAGCTGCGGCGCTGCACCGGAAAAAGCCCGAGCTGGGCACGTCGTCGGTGATGGTCCCGCTGAAGTCCTTCCAGACGACATCCGAGATGTGGAAGGTCGAGGAGTCGCACGACTCACCCGCGTGGCCGGAGAAGGACTCGCACTGAGTGATGAAGAGCGGCTCGCCGCGGGTGCCGTCGAGTTTGATATCCTCCAGCACGATGTTACGAGCATAACCCGTTCCGCCGCCTCCGCCGTTCGGCGGGTATCCGATCTGGATGCCGGTCCAGGTTTTGAAGTAGCAGCCACGGAGAGTGTCGTGCAAGGTCACGTTCCTCGCGAGAAAGTTCTCAATGTACTCGAACTGGCCAATAAACTGACCGATCGAGCCCATGGCAATGCCTGTGCTGCCGAAGAACTCGCTGTCGTAGATGAAGATGTTGCTCGAATTCGCCTTCAGGGCGATCGCGTCGTCACCGTTCACCACTACCCAGCGGCGGAAAATGATGTTATCCGAGTACATCGTATCCGCTCCATCGGTGTTGAGTGAGTTGTTTTCCGTTGAGGACGTGCTGTTGACGTAAATGTCCTCAAACACAAGGTTCTGTGAGTACATAATGTTCATGGTCCACATCTGACTCTGGACAAAGCGCAGGCCCTTGACAACCGAGTTCGAGAAGCCACGGAAGTTTATGTTCATCGGACGATGGGGCATGTTGGAGCCGCCCGCGTTGAGGTCATACCAGACCTGACCGTTGCCGTCAAAGGTGCCGACGCCGTGGCCCTCCCAGACCACGCGGTCCCCGCCAAAGTGCCAGACCGTGCTCTGGTTCTGGAAGTCTACGGGCATCGACACCGAGAGCCAGTACGTCGTGTCATTGCTCCAGAGGAGCCGGCCGCGCTGGTCAATCACGACATCCTCGAGGTCCTCGGTGATCATGGGCGAGTTGATGTGGTAGATCGGGCCGGGAAGAACAATGATGCTCTTGGACCGGCACTTGTCGTTGAGCGCCTCCAGGAGCGCCGGCGCGTCGTCACCGCCGTCTGCGGCCGGCTCGAGGTAGCAGAGGCTCCGGCTCTCCTTCTCTGCCCTCTCCACCCAACCGCTTTCGCTGGGCACGTCTGGGTCGGCCTCAGCTAGCTGGGCGGTGGCTGAGGAGAACCGTGGGACGTCGCGGCCTAGGACGAGGCCGGCCGCCAACGACGCAACGAGCGCTAAGCCACGCATGATGTGTGGTGTGTGGTCTGGGGCGGTCGGGGCCCCAATTAGATGTCGAGTAGGTATGTGAGAGAGGCTTTGCCACTCCGCGAACAGACGTTTCTTGTTTCTAATAGGTCAAAGTTAGAGGAGGGAACATGAGACGGTTCAAGAGAACGTGAGTGGCTTCGACATTTGATCGCAAGGCCTTCTTTCGCGCACTACTTCGCTCGGATTAATGAAGGCTTCAAGCTCATTGAGAAAGCTCGTCTTCGTGAAACCTGGAGATGGATCATATGATGAGGATCAGGGGGTTGTCAGCGAATGACATAGGCCAAGTTTAGCGGGGTAAGGCGTTGGATTCGTCCCCCTAGCGTCCGTTCCCCGCATTCATTACGTCTATGTTCCGCATGACGCCCTGGTCTCCCGTTCCTCTTGTTCGGCACTTCACGATTTAGTACGATGGAAGCTGCATGGTGTTGGTCTGGAAACATATTTCCTGTTGTTGGCGAGATGTGATGATAGCATCAAGCATAGCATAGTTACAGTGAGGGGATCTCATCAGCTCATGAGGTGTTCTAATGGTTGCTGCAGCAGGTCACGAGTAAACCAGATTTGCAGGAACGTTACATGGAAGAGTTATTCTTTCGAGTAAAGATGGGCAACAAAGACTGGCTTTCTAGCTTTGCCGCTCACCGGACGGCGGTCTCTGTCGCACTCGGGTACAGTGCACCGGGCTACAAGGTGACTGGCGCGGGCCGGCCGGTGTGGGTCGCGAGGACCGGGCCGCATCCCGGTGACCCCTTCTGGTCCGAAATGCCTTCTGCTCCATTCGCAAGCCCGTGATGATTGTTCAGGCACAAATATGGTGAAATGGAAGCACAACAAAATAAGGCAGAATGGCAAGGAGTTTCGACTGCGATTTAAATCCCATATCCCTTTTCCCAGATGTATCTACCAACTCATGAAGGGCTACATGTCTTAGATCGTTAAAAACTACCTAAGCTGACAATCCCATCATGGATTGAGAGGTTCCTGCGTCTAGTGAATCTTTCCAGGATTCCCTTGATCTTCCAAGCCAGGCATTGAAATTTTCGCGGGATCAACCCTTTTTCAGGATCTTCCACAGTCTGTCGGTGTGTAAGCTTTCGCAGAAGCAAGACGGTGAACAACGTCAGTAGCAGCGCTACAACAAAGTATATCCACAAGAAAGGCGACACCATCTTCTCGGAGTCATCCGGATTCCACTGGAAAAGGTCATTGAGAAGAGCGTCTAGTGTGATTCATCGTGGTTAGACTATCAGAATCAGGAGTTTCCAGTACAAAAGTCAATCCGTTTGCTTACTGCCAAAAATGTCGCGGCAAGGAATACCATTGTGCGATCGACCTCATTTAGCTGCTGTCTTCTTTCGTTGATACCGCAATACTCGTATTGATTTTGCTGTGGCCCTGGTGAATTGCTAGTCTGGGTACCTCACCGACTCAAGACCAAAATACCAGAAAGTTTGCCAATGGCATTCCTTCTATGACCATCTCGCACTCCCCAATCTTCTCGTCGTAATCTTCCATTATTTCCCGCACCCGCCCTTTAATCCGGATACCAGCGACGTCCGCTTTGAACTTCAAGACTTCGCTCATTGCTTCCTCGTAACCGGTCCTCACACACCACATTGTTGATAGCTCATCGGCATGCTCTGCAACCTTCTGCAGTTGTTTTTTCCAGGTCTGTAATGCGATCTTGAGGTAGTAGATATCAAGCCACGGGCTAATGAAGCTCTCGATGCCATTGACCGCGACATCTAGTTTCTCGAAATCACTTGCGACAAGCGCAAGGTGACGTGTTCGTTCAAGCTCTGCAAAAATCCCAACAAGCAACAATGGATGACAAACGTGGTCTTCTGCGTTTCTCAATCGCAACTTGACCTTCTCCATGGTTTCATGTTGATAGTCGCAGCCCAGAAAAATTGCATTTGTTGTTTTTGATTCAATGAGATAGGTCATTGACAGTGACAACTCACCATACCAATCACTTGAAGAGCGACAGTTGTACACTGCTACGCCGTCAGTCATGCCAATCTCATTCTGTACTTGTAACAACGTTGCCGAATTGAATCCCCGGTACGAGTGCCAGTGTCAAATGAAGAAACGAAAGCAATGGTAGTCCTCTCATGATTTGGGTATCTCTCGTCATGCATTGTATAGCAATGCCAAAGGTTGTCAATTTGTCTTATAAATAGAGGCTGAAACTTGAGTATTGTATCCAATCGTACCTATAGCTGCTGCATGATGAGTATCTGGTGCGCCAATCTGTTCACCATCTCGATGCGGTACCACAACCTCCGGAGACAATGACCAATTCCAGGAAAGGAGGACGAAGTGGAAGGATTCGCATTTGCGAGTTGTTTTGAATGCCCAGAATTTCCACAGAGATACAAGTACAAGCGATATCATTTCGTGACTCAAAGACTTTAATTGGCAAAGTCGTTGGGAGAATACGATGGTTTGTTACCTGTATCTCACATACACAGGTGGATGCTGCAACCTTTCATACCAGGTATATCTATTATATTTCCAGCTGCCGTCACGGTCTGCCAAAAGATTTTCAGGCTGGTGGCCAGCTTGCGTCAGGTTAGTCGTTCCACCCCTTTCGTACCTGACGGATCGAACGCTTCTAGATTCTCATTCCTTTGCATCTCAGTCACGCAAATTCAAATGTTCGACCTCGTTGAGCGAGAAAATGACTACCTAGGTAGTAAATTTGACGACGAGCTCCCATCATCTTTCAAGAAAATTACAGCACGTCTTAAGACGGTGTGGCACCTATACTGGAAAGCTCAACTTACTTTATGTCTCGGCACTATCACAGGCTGCGTCATGATTATCCTTTCATATATTACCAATTCATTTTCGCAAAGTGCCCTGGGTACATAAGTATGCCTGCAGCGAGTTTCAAGTCTCTCCTCCTCTTGGCAAAAGACAAAGAGCTGGAAACATACTTAGCCATATTAAGCCCAATATTTTCTAATAGGACTCCATGTGAGATCTCCAGGATAACTGTTCATGAAATTCTATACGTGGATAGAATCATTGCATCTCTACAGAGAAGTTGACTAAGATCTTGTTTTGCATGTTTTATACAATTTTGAATACATGATGGACATTTTAGGAGAATCTAAGCTCGTCGAGTGAGACAATCTCAAAAAAGACATACCTTCAACATGTTCTGTGTCTTATATCATCTTCATGGAGAACTTCGGAGCAAAATTGACATAGCTGGATTTGCGCCTCCTGTGATCTTGTCTGTGATCAATTTGGGCTGAGGTCAGTATTGGAAATGTCCTATCCAAACCAAACAGAGTATTTTCTGGGTGTAGTCTTCGACGTAAACTCTCCGGCAGTGATTCAATATGACTGATTAAATTTGTCTAGCCTCAATATGTCGCCCTTAGTCCTATACAATGGCCTTCCAAGATGTTTTAGACCCATATCTTTATCGGATCATTTGATCATGGCACTGAGACGCAAGATAAACTCGTTGAATGACCGTGGCCCGCGATATCACAATACTTACGTTCATTCATCACATGAAGACAGCGAAGAAGTAGACATCAATAGTTGGATGCTTCCAAGTTCCATGTTGCACATGAACTTTAGCAATCTTATCATCGTCATCTTTAGTTCTTAGTGACGTTTTCAGCGTGCGTCGAGAGACAGAAATTGGTTTGCAAAGACTCCAGCATTATTTGACCATACCCAAAGCCGCTGCTGATATTCTCTCAAAGTTTCCTGGTCGCTCTATATAGAAGCTGAGCAATTAGCAAATTGGGAGTTCAAGTTGAGTGCTGCAATACATATTGCAGCAGCATCTCGTGCCAATCATGTTAATTCCATCACACAGAGTGGACTGAGGGAAAGGCTCGCCAGCCAAGCAACGATTGAATTCCATCTGATCTCAAAGGTTTCGACGTTTAAATTGAAGATTGCTTATCAATTGGGCCCGGATCAATTGAAATGAGGCGTCAAATCGCACCTTGCCACATCACTGCGTGTCGCACTATAATCTGACATGCATTTTCAAACGCCACCAAACCTATCAGGACGACGGTGTGTTGAAGGCTTAACGCACTTTGAACGTGGTATTTTGAAGCAATCATCATGCTCTGCCAGAGGTCCCATCGCTTGGTTATATTCACCCAGGCTGTCTGCAATGAACGAACCTGGAAATGTCTCTCAGTCTTGGAAACTCTTCATCTCATCACAAATGAGGTTGAAAAACTCTGCTTGCTGCTGGCAGGAGGCCAGTTGTTAGTTTGGCATTTCACAGAGAGTATGGACAGTACCGCTTTTATTCCTTCCTTGGTCCAACCGCTAGAAGCCAAGTAGTTTGGATTTGATCTGATCTGCATTCTACGTGTGGTAGCATCTCCAGGGCTGCGACTACACAATGGATCCAGCGACAGCGAGAGTGAGCCTGGCCTACCTTTCCCATTCAAGGGCTGAGGCCTGGCTGTTACCTCGGTTAGCCCAAAGAGAAAAGGCTGTCACACCGTCGCTTGCCTGAACATCATTCGCACAGGCAACCTACACAGCCGCATGCTGGGGTGAAGCGGCTGACAACACGCTCACTGAGCGACCAGTCAGTCTAGGAGAGGAGTTCATTCGAGCAACTATATCCGTGCGTACGGGAAGCAGCTGCAGCGGCGATGTGGGTGCTTCCCGTGATCACACCGGCGATAAGTAGGTAGCCCTGGTCTGTTTGTCTTGGACCGGATCTGCTGGATTCTTAGAACGGCCAGCCTGCTTGGTGCCCCCCTCTTTTTAACTGAGGTGGCATGAGGGGGATGGGTTGTCAGCTAATTACATTTAGGATCCTGTTGAGCAACATACCGTGAGACAGGAGACGGTGTGAGACCCAGCGAAACAACAGACATGTAGAAGCCCACGTGCTCACGGGTGGTCTGTTTGTTCCAAACAACCGGTGAGGCACAGCCTTACCCCAATTGCGGCCCGGGTACGGTACCATATCTGGTCCCTTTCCTCTGCTCCCGTCATTATCCGGCCTAATGCATAGAATCACACAGCCTGATCCTCTTATCCTTCAGGTTGTTGCTTCCCTTAGAGTATGTACCATGGTACCTAGGGTTGGACCTTAGGTGGCACAAAGCATTGCCCACGAACTGTTGCCTTGTTAAATGGTATTCAGAACATTTCTTGAAACTGGAAAGCTTCACAGGAACACAAACAGAAAGCAAACTCCCACGACATCAGTATCCCGTCCTCGTGCAGCCTGAATCTAGTTCTTGCTGTCTGTCCATAGAAACACTAGTACCTACCGACTAGGTGCATCCATCCCAATGCGGTCCCTACGTACTCTCCGATCGGGCAAAGCCGCGGTACGGCCCCTCCTCCGATCCCACCATCTTTCTGCTCTAAATGGCCGTCAATCTCGGCCTATTTCAACACTAAAGCTCCACCTCCTGGCGGGTCAGACTAGGACTAGGTCCCCACGATACGCCAGCACTACTACGATGAGCGACGACAACACCAACACCGCAACGACCGACACTACTGCTATGGCCACCACGCCGGCCGCTCTAGCGGAGCTATTCGAAAAGGCTGAGGCCGGCTTTCCACCGCGATTTCGCGAGCATGGATGGTACCTGACCGTCGTACGAAGCCCTTTCCCTTGCGGCTGACCCTAGATATTCACCAAGTAAGTGAGGTTCGATCGGAAAACCAAGACTGACCGGCCTTTCATCCAGATTGCCTCGCTAATAGGGTCCGGCCAGCAAAAGGTCGCCGGTAGCCTCTACACGCACCTGATCGCCCAGTCCCAGTACCAGACGCCTGCCGAGCGCCAGACCCTCGTCCGCCGCTTGCGCGAGGCAATGGTCAAGTGCATCATCATCAACGGCATTCCGGTCGTCATTGAGGCCGTCACGTCCGTCTCGGACGTCGAAAGGCCTGAGGACAGGGACCTCTCATGCTCGCGCGAGGACTGGCAGATCGGGTCCGAGACGTCGGAGCGCGCCGCCGCCGTGCTCAAGGTGCTGTACAAAAGCGAGAAGGGTGGTCACGTCAAGACGCTGCAGGCCCACAAGGATATCCGTGAGTTTTGATCTTTGGAGCACACATTTTCCTGACTGTCAGACGGTCTAACATCGTGCTCACCAGCCTGGATCTCGGTCAACGTGTCGTACGGTCTTTTCCTCTCGGACCACCGCATCCTCAGCATGCAGGAGACGGAGCTTGTCGTACTCCCGGCAATCATGACGCAGAATCTCCAAGGGCCGACGTACTGGCATCTGAGGGCCTGCCTCCGGGTGGGCATGGAGCCGGACGAGGTCGAAGCCGTCCACAAGGTCATCGAGCTGGTAGCGGCCTACGGGGGCAAGACGCTCGATGTACAGCGCGTCAAGGACGTGACTGATGCGTAAAGGTAGCCTAAGTAGGACGAGATCGACAAAAAGGAACTGAATTACATTTGTCTAATTGCTTTTCACGATCAAGACTGCTACTGCCCTAATCTCTTCCTGAAGTCCGTCATTGTCCGGTGAAAATGCTTGAATGACCACATGCCCCTGTTCCATTCCAGTTCGTAGACGGCTGCTGCCTCGACAAACTTGCGCTCTGCCCTGGCCATCATATCATCCACCTTCCGCTTGTCCTCATGGTCACTCGTGAACAGGGTCGTCGCCTCGTCGAGCTCGACGAGAATCAGTGACAGCTCCGCGAGGCTCCGGGCCGGCCGCGGCTTCTCTGATGCCGTCTTGTCCAGTAGCGCAGCCAGCCAGGCCTTGCCCTCGGCAAAGCGTCCCTGCGCCCGGAGTGCCTGGTTATATACCTCGGCGAGCTCATAGTCGCTAAAGCTGAACTCGATCTTGCCACGATTGAGCATACGCATCCGCTCCGCCAACTCCTTCATCACCTCGGCTTCGGCCTCGGCCGGCCGCCCTTGCGCTAGGCGGGCGCTGGCCATGAGCTGGTGCCACACGCGACGCAGGAAGTGCTCCTGGCCGATGCCCTTGTCCATCTCGCGTGCGCAGCCCTCCAGCACGGCCGCGGCTTCGTCCGGCAGCCCACGGTCGATCTTGATGGAGCCGAGAACCAGCTGTTTGCGGGCCCGCTGCAGCATAGCGCCTGAGTCGTCGAGCGAGTCGTCGACGTACTCATACACGCGCTCAGCGCCGTCGTAGTCCCCCTCACGGTAGAAGCAGGGGGCCGAGGTACGCGCCATGGACGCGGCGTAGATCTTGTCCAGGCGTGAGCGTTGCTGGAACGCGGCGAGATAGCGGGCACAGTGATCGGAACACTCCCTTCGCCGCCCCATGCTCTTGAGCCGGATGGCGCGGCGCACAGCCAGCATCGCGTCGGGGATGCGCCATTCCGCGTGCTCACGGCGCCCAGCGACAAGGTCGTAGAAGCGGTCGGCGCGGTGCAGCGTGCCGTGGTCAAAGGAGACAGGGATCCAGGCGTCAACGGCGATCATGCAGGCTCCGATCTGGTGGAGCTCGGTATCGCTGAGGAGGTCCGGTGTGTTGTGGAGGTTGTCCAGACAGGTGAAAAGGTAGGGGTATAGCGTTTCACCCTCCGCGAAACGTGATGCGTCGTAGGCGTTGATGAGGGCGCTCAGGGCGAGGAAGATGGCCGCGCGGCCGCTCGCGATTCTTTCCGAGCTGGACTGCCGCTCCTTGAGCCAGTAGTGGACAAGCGGATGCGTCGACATGGTCTTTTGGTCCACCAGCGAGAAGGACGCGAGCGTACCGATGGCCTCGCCTATCTTCATGCGCGAAACCCTCAGCTCCGGAGGTGCCCGGCCGACTAGCTGGTCGTAGTCGGCCGGCGTCTGGACAAAGTCGACGAAGTCTCGCAAAAGAAGCCGTTGCTGGGGCTCCGACCGGCGGATCTGGGCGAGGTTACACATGAGCGCGAACGGTGCGCCGTCCGAGTGGAAAAAGGCCGCCAGGTCCAGGAGGCGCGCGGCGACCGGGTTCCTGATGGCCACCGCGTGGAAGGAAATCTCCCAAGTGGTGAAGACGGTCTTCTCGTACGACCAGACGGCCCGCGGTGGCTTGTGCCGGAGTAGGTCGTCGTGGCTTTCGCGGTAGAGATCCTTGTACTCGGCAAAGTCTATGGCCTGCTCTGTAATGTAGGCGCCGGCCTGATCGAGGGCCAGCGGGAGGAATCCCAGGGTGCGGGCGACGTCGCGCGCAGCTTCTTCGTCGACGCCGTCATCCGCTTCAGCGGCAACGCCGGAACACCTCTTGAGAAGATTGACCGCCTCTTCCTCGTCCATAACGCCTACTTGGATTTGGTGGCCTAGGCGGCGAGCCTCTCTGCGGCGACTCGTGACTAGGATGTGGCCCCATGGCACGCGAGGGAAGAACCGCGAGATGTCGAAGGTGTCCAGGTCGTCCACGTTGTCGAACACGAGGAGCCATCTGGACGACCTCTTCCCTTCCTCACGCGAGAGCCACTGCAGCAGCGCGAGCGCCATGGGTGGCATGTCTTGCTGCTGTCGGTCTTCAGAAGACGTCCTGGGGAAGAGACCCAGCGTCTTGGCCAGCTGCGTGAACGACTTAACAATCTCCTGCTCGTCAACGGCGAAGACCCAGAGAACTGTGGCATAGCGTCCCGCGTGATAAGCATCGTAGGCAAACGCCGTGGCGATCTGGGTCTTGCCTACGCCCCCGAGGCCCGTGAGTACGAGGCGCTGCTGCTGCGTGCCATCGCGGCCGCCTTCGAAGTAGAAGTTCTCCATCTCGGCAATGATCTTCCGACGGCCGGTGAACAGGGGATTAGAGCTCACCGGGACCTCAAACGAGACGTTGGAGGGGGTCACTGTTGCCGCTATAGCAGGGGGAACATCAGCAGGTGATGTAGGAAGAGGCAAGGAGGGGGAGGTTTGGGGGACTGGAGCCGATTCTCCATTAGACGGCAATTCTAGGGCAATTTCCGATTCGTAGTCATATCGAAAGACCTCACATCTGGAAGTCGGCTCTCTGGGGCATCTAAGCGCGTCATCCCAGACGTGGTGCACATGACGCTCCAGCGCTGCCGCGTCCGGCCTCTCTCGCGGGTCGACGCGCAGGATCCGCCTGATATAGCCAGCCCAGCAGTTGGACCAGACGGGCGACTCGGCCGTGGCACATTGCTCGCCGAGCCACAGCAGCACTTGAGGTCGCACCACGAAGCCCCTGTGGCTCGACGACGACGACGCACTGTTGCTGTTGCTGTTGCTCGGCGAGTGAAAGTTAACATCCCCGACGTGGTTGAAGACTTGCCTCCGAGCTGCGAGGAAGCCTTCGACGTTACGGGGCCCGCCGAGGGCGAAAGCCAGGACTTCGGCGAAGATGCAGCCGAAAGACCAGATGTCGACGGACCGGCCGACGCGCCCCACAGGTTCGGCCGCGCCGGGGCCCGCATTCGAGTCCGTGCCCGTGCCGCCGGTCAGGACGCTCTCCGTAAGGTGTGGGCCCCACCACTCGGGGACCTCCGGGGCCTGGTACTGGCCTCGCCCGCGCCGCGCGTTGGTGTTAAAGGTCATCTGGTTGTCATGGTAATGATAGTCCTCCCCCATGTGACCATCGCCCTTCTCGTCCTTGAGCACAGAGATGCCAAAGTCGCACAGCTTCCAGCGGCCCACAGCACCGTCCCCGCCAAATATGATGATGTTGTTCGGCTTGAGGTCCATGTGCGCGCACCGCACCCACCGCCCATCCACAAGGAAGCCGGAGTGGAGGAACCGCAGGGCACCGGCGAGCTTGTGACACTGCTGGAGGAGCGCCCGAGCGAGCTCGACGTTGCCCCAGCCGTGGGCGTGGGCGTGCGGGAACCGATCCTTGAAGTCGTATGACCTCATATCGTTGCCGTCGCTGTGCATCCCACCACGCAGGAACTGGCCGAGATCACCCAGCTCGGCGCGGGGAAAGAATATGAGGAGCCGCGAGGAGGAGCTTCCGCTGCTCCCGTGCTCGACCACGGCGTTGCAAAGCGAGATACTGTGGTCGCCGGCTTGACCCTTGCGGAGGAGGCGCATGTTCTCCGCCTCGGTGAGGCCATCGGCGCGGCTATAGAAGGACTTCACGGCGACGACAAGGGGCTGCCGCTGGTGTTCCTTATACACTCATGATGTTAGCGCTGTCGTGACGAGATCTCACGTGCCATTCCGTTGTGATGCCCCAGTGCCCCTGTAGTGGCACGAAAAGAGGTTTTACATGTTGCGATGTGAAGCAAATATGGAAGAGAGTTTGAATGTAGTCACCTACCGGCACCAAGTTCCGATGGCTAGGATCTTCATCTTCGACGTACTCCGGGGCCAGCTTGAAGAACTTTGCAGAGGACGGCATGTCAGCACGAAATGGAAATAGTATGAACACCACCGAGGCACTCACTTGGGCATCGCCGTACCCCCCGTGCTCCTGCGCCGGGTCGCATTCCATGAACGGAATCCGCGTCAACATGTTCGGGATGACTTGTATCGTCGGCGCCGTCTGTGGATTCAGGATGATCGTGGCCGGATAAAACAGGTACTGCTCTTCCCACCTGGATGTCTTGGCTGGCGAAAGGTTCAGTGCTGCGAGATCATCCTTCGTATACGGCATCTCCTCATCTCGATAACGGGGCGTCGTTTCATCTCCGTCTCGGAAGAGTAGGCTGGAGAGGTGCGTGTATCGCAGGGGCGGAGCCTCGATGTAGACCAAAAAGGTGACAAACAGGAGTGAACTTTTCCAGACGGAAGCCAACTGCCGTGGCGACAAGTCGAAGAGAACGTCCCCCAGGTTGTTCTGGTGTTCCCAGAGCTTGCGAACTCTAGAGGCGAGGAAGAAGGGATGGTGGAGGGGTGAGTCCAGATCGGGCTTTGGACGGATCTGGAGCGCAGGCAGCCCATTGCATATTCGGACGAGTTGCCGTTTCCTCCGCGAGTTATTCCGTGCGGTAGCTTTGTTATTCTTCATACCCCGTCGATGAAAATGATGGTCTCTGGGTCAGGCCGTGAGTTGGAGTGGCTCTTTAAAGAGGACCAAGAAAGCACTTCTAGAAGGTGGGCTAGGAACTGGACGAGGTACGCGTCTATGCCTGGCTCACTGCCCGCTCAGCTGAACTGACCCGCCACCCACTCTTACCTCTCTTCGCAAGGCAGCCTAGGGTGTAGGGGAGGGAGGGAGGAATCGGAAAGCCCCTCAGCCTCTGGCCTTTCAGGTTGGGCCAACACCTATGCAATGTCATCACTTGGTGCCGCTGGTTGTTGTATCTACTGATCTCTCCAGGCAGGCTCTAAATGGTCGTACAGCGTCCCTCCACCTTTACAAAATGCTATGAGCCTCGCCTTCGGGATGCCATGGGGTCCACGACGAGGCTCTTCCTTTATCCTCTGCTCCGTCCCATCCCGCCAGCATTCTTCTTTCATCTCGCATCGCATGGATCACGACAACAGCGTCGGCGAAGCGAAATTGTGCCACGCACGACCATGGAGCTAGTGCGCAACGTTCTCCCCCAGAGACTATCACGATACGTCACTCTCGGCGACGAGCTGCTGGCGTTGCTTCGGGAGATGTATGGAAATGAGATTGATTTCAGCATCGCAGTCCGTCTTCCTCTTCTTACTCACCTCTTCGATGAAGGGAAAAGTAATCCAACTGTTCGTACAGCACGAGAACGACCGCTGGTACTTTGACTGCCCCGAGCAGCTACAAGAGGTGAAGAATATCTTGCCCCTCCCCCGCCTATTATAAGTACGCTCGCTGACGTGTACGGATGATCAACAGAACCAATTAAGGCATGCGCCGCCACAACGGCAGAGGCCGACACCGAGTCAATACTGACATATGCAAACAGGGCGATTGTCACCCAGATTGCTGATCGGCGCGAAGCTGCCCGGGAAGCCGAAAGGAGAGAGCGCCGGCGGAGGAGGTCGGGGCGGAATGGGGGTGGGAGCTCGAGCCGAAGATAAGCACTTGGGGAATGTTATAAATCCAATATTGCAGTCATCAGTCCCAGCCTTGTCAAGTAAGCGAATAAACTGTAAAGCGAAACAAAGAGGGTGTGAACAGGATTGGTCAGGTGACGGGAAATGCCAGTCAAACATGTTTGCCTCCCTCCTTCGGATAAAGGGACCTTGTCATCGCTGTGTTACCACACTTCGGAGGCTGAATACGTGACACAGGGGCCTCAGCCGCCTTCTCCTCTCTTGGTCCCGTCTCGTTTTCTCTCTTTCCCCCCGAGAAGCCCCTTATTTGTTTTTTGCTTTTTTCCCGGTGAAAATTGTCAGAATTGTTGGGAGCGTAGAAACTGATCTCTGTCGCTTCCTCTGCGCAGAGTATTTACCTACGTCAAGTCCGGTCCGTACAGCTTGCCGGTTCCATGAGATGAAAAGGCAGATCAGGCTGTGAGGATCGGACCGAGCCGCACAGCTTTAACACCCAGCCCCGGGCACATCACAAGGCAAACCAGCGACCGGCTCTGCTGCGCATCCCATGCACGTAATTTCTTGTGGTTTCCATATGACGATCTGGGATCCTCTTGGTTTCCTCCACAGACAAACCAGTCTCATTTCAACGACAGCTTCACGGGAATGATGAGCGCCTGGGATCAATATTTTGCGCGTCAGCAGGGTGGCTTTCCCATCGCCGCTGGGCTCCGCAACCAGCTCCACGATCTGGCAGGAACGGCGTTTGTCTCCAAGGATTCAGAGACGCAGTTTGACGTACTTGACATTGATGACAACGGCAGTATGCTTCATCATCCCTCCTCATCAGAGCATGTGTGGAATCAATGTTGGTTAACATCGAGGCTATAGACAAATTCCACGCGAGTGAGGTCAGAGTAGAAGATGACCTCAACCGCGTCCTCGAAGCAACGCCCACTGCAGGCATACGCATCATGTTCGTCACCTTTAGACCAAGTTTGTTCTTTACGCGCTCCGCACTAATCTTCGTCGGTTACCTAGTTCCATATCGTCCGCCAGAACTATCAATCCCCTCCGCATTACCTCGCCATTGGCCGCCAGGCTGTTCGACAAGTATCAAGTGCGCGCCGAGTTTCTACGAGTGCTCCTGTCCTTCGGCGATGAGCCTCACCTATCTGAGGCCGGCAGCGCCAACAGCATCTTTCTACCGCAGGGCAACGACGCATGTAAGGGTTCTCTTCCTTCCCCGTCCGTACATTGTTCTCCTGTTTCCCGAACGATAAAAATTTCTGAGGAATATTCGTGACTGTAGACACACTGCTTTACAAGCTCAACTTTGTGGAGCGGAACGAGCGGCCCGGCCCCGATAAATGGTCCTTCCGGCACGTCGGCGTCTACCACCAGCGCACGCCTGGCTTCGACCTCTTCATACTGTTGCACTGCCAGCCAGCGAGCGAGCTGGCGGAGACGGTCCAGGATATCATTGAGGAGGAAGACGGAGGCTCGGATGAACTCGACGACGAGAAGTCGCCGCCTATGGGCGCCTTCAGGCAACACCTTTGCTCGCAGCCGGCAACACTGCACCAGTACATCCTGTCATGTTACCTCGACAACTGGCGGGCATACCTGCGCCATCTAGGCAGCGGATTCTCCAGAATAGTACGTGAAGCCAAAAATGTCGGCAATGTCCCCGATAAGACTGACACTTCTGCCTGCCTGACCGTGTAGCTCGACATGGCCATGGTGCCCCACGCCAAGATGGACCACGACGTTCCCAAGGTGACTTTCGAGAGTGTGCGCGAACTGAGGAACACCAATGACTTTGCCCTCTTCGCCAGTGCCTGCTGCCAGAGCAACCTCGAGGTCACGGGCTGCATCCTCTATTCTGGGAGGTTCCCCGAGGCGCAGGCCGCAGAGTTCCGTTCCATGGAGACTGTGCTTCGCGGTTACATCGAGAGCTCTGCCGTACTTCGCCAGAGGGTAGACAACACGGTCGAGCTGGTTGGTCTCATATTTATCTTGCATAGGTACCTATTCTCTCTCAAATCAGAAAGGGACTAACATTCTATTTCTACTCTCCCTAGGCATCATATACGCTATCGCTGCATAACCAGAAGGAGCTACAGCTCCTCACTCACGAGATGAAAACTCACATCAAAAACACGGGCGATGTGACGCTCAAGCTTAAGGAGTTAACGGAGAACACGGTAGACGACAGTGCCATCGTGCGCATCATCACCATCATTTCTGCCATTTACCTTCCCGGCAGCTTCGTCGGCGTGAGTACAGTCCGTAACATACAATCGAGTCAGTTTTATTCACATATGCTCCCACCCGCAGTCATTATTCGGAAGTAACTACTTCTCCTTCAACGAGAAGACTCGCAAGATTGCTGTCGCCAGAGACTTTTGGGTTTTCGTCCTTATCTGGCTCCTCCTCACTGTCGTCACAGTGGCGGCTTACGTCTACACATACATGAAGAAGAAGAAGAAGAAGAACGGAGACAGGACACTCAAAGAGATCGTCCGTGACGTCGAGAAGGACTCCGACAACTACAACACGCCTCCTCCTCCTCCTTTTCCCAGGCGATTGGCCACAGAGGGTAGGACGCCCTTTTTACCACCCCGTCGCTTCCTGACACCCCGCAAGCGCGGATAAATAATCTATCCAAACCCACTAAATCACGAGGTGGCCATGGAAAGTGGGTATTAACGAAGGTCTGGTCGCATTTTGGCTAGTATGCCACCAGAGACTATCACTCATTCACGAAACATCAAGAATCCCCCACATATTTCTGGAAAGACTTGCGCAAATGTTGCGAGCCTACAAATTTCATGCCCGAGGTAAGCCCCGGAGCACGGTACGCACGTCGGAGAGAGAGGGCCATTCTGATATGTAATCTTAGCGTCGGGACAACCAAGTCAAGATACAATCGCAAACCGAGTTATGGATGCGGTTATACAACCAAGTCTTCTGTGAACTATGTGAACACCAATTCAGTATAGAATAACCTCGGCTTCATGCTTTCATGATTATATTTACGGGTGACAAGATCGGTTTACGATATTCTGGATCAGATCAGCATCGTTTTGACTTCAATTCTATCAAGCCTGGTTAGGCCATTCCTCGTAGAACGTGCCTATTAGAAATCTGATGAGGGATATCGCAGTAGTCTGCGTGTCCGGGTTGTGGTTGTAATTTCCACAGTTCCCGTGATGCTTAGCGGAACTCATAAATCTGTCGGTCCATCGCCATCGCTTGGAATCAGGTACTTTCGAAAGACCATCAAAGACTTTGTTTCCAAGAATAGGAACCTTTCTGTGAAGCCGTCGCATTGTGGTTTAGCGTATGCTGATGCTCATACTGCCCCAGATGAGTAAACATCAGGGGGTGCCGACACGCTGTACTGACCCCGTCTCAAAACGATACCTCATGCAATCCTACTGATCAAATCCAGCCAGAACCGCTTCCCTATACGCTGCCATACCCGCAACCGTTGCCGCGGGACCAACAACGAAGATTCCCACAGTAATAGCCATTGCAGATACTAAGCACTGCAAGTTTTGAATGTATCCGTATAGTCTCAAGCTCAGGGGTGCCGCTCCTAGAGCCAACAGAAGTGACGATAACGTGAAGACAATACCCTCGTACTTAGAGAATCCCAACTTTACCAAAGCCTCGTTGTTTCCCCCAAATGATAAGCTGTGGCGCAAACAGTAGTTGAAGACGTTGGTAAAGTGGACAGCTGTAGACATAATGAATGCAGAATAATGGACGAGTCTGATATACGGCAAATCTGCCTTCCCAAACATGTTGCGGGTTCGTTGTCTTTCGGCCCGAAGTTTCGTCTTTTCGTCATCCAAGTCGCGCGATCCTGAAGAATTTCCGAGGATTGAAAGGCTTCTTGCCAGCATGAAGCATAAGATGGGGGCATTCCTCCAGATCATAATGGAGTTCGAATCCATCTTGGCTATAGCGATGGCGGCTGGTAGCACATACCCGACTAATGCAATTGGTAAGACCATCTTTGCCGCCTCAACTGGCACATGTCTTCCGACAATGAGACCGCATGACCAATGGGCGAACAGCGCAGCGAGTGGTCCTATCGCGCCGGGGCCAAGGAAGTTGTTGACAATCGCGAAGGTGAGGATCCTTTGTGACTAGTCAGCGTTGTTCCGGGCGAAAGCCCCTCAGAACCAATCGGAGGGAAGAGACTTACTGGATCCAAGAAGTAATTTTGTTGCCAACTCGGTTGGATTCAACTAGCGCCATTGCCAGGAGCGAGGCTGTGTTGACAAGAAACGTCACGGCCGGTAAGACTGACGCTCTCGCAACATCCATCGAGCATAGAGCGTCAATAGCCAGCTCAAGGCTCTTAGGCAAGCGTATCAGGCCGGCAGCCAGGGCGCAAAGAAGGGCGGTGACAGCGACAGATGCTAGCTTATTGATCTTGCTCAAATTCTTCACTGGTCTTGCGGGTAGCTCGTCTTCAAATGGGACAGCCCGAGGACGATGAGGAATCTCAAGTCTATGCAAGCTGGTCGCAGGAGAGCAAAACTCCACACCTCTGTAAAGAACTCCGAAAGACCCAAGGGCTGGCATGAAGTATCGGGCAATGAGTTTTCCCATCGTTGACCGCTGAGTGAAAGCATTTTGGAGCCAGTAGCCTTGCTGGACAACATCTTGAGCCCGTTCCTGTTCGTGCAATGTATTGTTAGCATCAGTGAAAGAGTCAGTGTGTTGTATGAGTTGCTTACAAATCTGATGGCGTGTATCTCTGCCAGCACATCTTCTACTTGTTTCTCGCTGAGACCTTCAGGACTCGCGTCAAACTTTTGGAGCAGAGCGTTGACTAGAAGTGCCCCTGACTCGATGGCTCCGTTTCCTCCCTGACCTGTTACCGGATCGACCTACCAAGTACACCGTTGTTAGCGCAGAATCTGGTACCAGTCACATCACGTAGGAACTTGAGTTCCAGGCGGCTTACCTTATGAGCAGAGTCTCCGATGGTGACAAGTCTCTTGTAGTGCCACTTCTCAAACACATAAGTTTGGAGTGGTGCCAAAGTAGTTACGATGCGCTTCTCGTACAATTCTCCGAAGGTCATGTTCTCCAGGATACGGTCGTTCACGTGTTGTTCCATAATTCTTGCCTCATCGTCTTTGGTGTACCTGTCCAACATTGACATCAGTCACTGTACGTGAATGAACATATGAGAAAAGTCTTCGTCCAACCCACCTGGGAATATTTTCTCCGTAAAGCGTCTCCTTCAACTCCATGAACAGGAACCAGTACACTCTGTTGCCGGGAGCCGCCATGAGAAAGTAGCTGTGACCCTCGGAAAGGGTGTTGTGCTGGCTAGCCGCGGGGTAGGCCTCGGGTCGATGGGAGATTCCAAAAATGCAAAGAGTTGTAGCGGGAACTTTGGAGTATTCGTCATGGGGAAAGTAGCCAGGAGGAGCATTGCGCCACATCTCCTTCCTCACAGTGCTGTGGATGCCATCGGCTCCCACGACGATGTCACCACTGAAGACTTGGCCATCCTTCGTTGTAACGTGGGCAGAGGATTCCATGATGTCGACAGAAACGGCTCGCTTGGAGGTGAGAACTCTTTCTTTGTGCTTTAGGTTAGAGTAGAGAACCTGGATGAGCATCTGTCTATCGATGAATATCATCGGATACCCGAGCCTGTCTTCGAATCAGCCTCAACTATAGAATCGTCAATACAAAGATACAACTCACATCTTCTCCCACATTTCCATGAGATCGTGTTGGTAGCCATACGCCTTGCCTGAGGCCTCTCTCAGGTACGCTTGTTGGTAGACTTGATCCTCAGCCTTTGCTCGATACGCTTCGTAACAGCCAAGCTGGTCCAGGATTCGGAGACCGTTTGGCAACAGACCAATACTGGCGCCGACTTGAGGTGCGATGTCGGGGTAAGCCTCCAACACTACGTAGTCGATGTCGAATTTCTCAAGCATGTTGGCCAGCGCAAGGCCAGCCACACTACCACCAACGATGACAACTCGGAAAGGCATCGCGAAGCGTTTGAATCTGCTCAATGATTGTAAGATGATGATGCAATGATGCAAAAGAAGAAAACTGGAGACGGAATAGATGCTGAGAGCGACATTTTGGCAGGTTTGACACTTCAGCTAGTGGTATTATGCATTTCGAAGCCCAACAGCCGGGCGAGATGGGATTCCGATTGCGGAATCGGACTGGTTCAAGTCCCCGTGCCAAGGTAGAGACACTGCCGGCGTTGAAGAACCTCCACAATAATTGCGAATCGACCGGCACTTTTTCGATCCCACCGGGTATCAGTGGGTAGGGCGCCAGGGGCATTCGGCATCGGCCGTGGTCCTAATCTAGTCAAAACACGCATATCGTATGAGGATTGGTGAGTATCAACTTTTTGAGCCAATATGTTGCTCCACTCGTACACGGGGGATGTATATAAACAATGACAGAACTGCACTCCCCACCCCCACCCCCACCACTCCCCGAGGGGGCTGGCCAACGCAAGCCCTGTCAGAAGGGGCTGAGCGAATTCTGAGCTCAACTATCCGTTGTCGATACAGCATACAAGATGTAAGGCTGAATTAGTTGTGTTGCCAATTTCGATTATGACGCGACTGACATTTCCATCGTGGGATTTTCGGACAGCTAGCGTCGGTATTTTGTACACATATCTTACGACTCAAGTAGACAGATAGTCTGGATGCTAATTAGGCGGAGCTATGTTCCCAAAGGCAATGCGGCACGCTGGATGGTAGGAAACCTCACGTAGTAGGAAGGAATCAAGTCAAATGTACACTAATTTCTAGCCAAATTTAATTCTATCTTCATCTGCACATTTGTCTCTTCTTACGTTGATAGACATTCCGCAAGACGCTAGTCTCGACACTATCAAATGTCCGTCCCTGAGATCAAGCCCCAGTCGCCCGTATTTTTCAAATCCTCAACAAAGATCCCGGACTTCTCTTTCTCTTCCTCTTCCTCAATACTCCAGGGCTGCACCTGATGACCTACTGGTAGATTGGTATTCTTGAACGGTTTGCCGCCCTCAACTGCCAAGCAAGCGTTTTCGAAGTTCTCGGTGACATATTTCTCGGCGTGATGTGTCCATACCCACTTGCCGAGGAGCATAGGCTGTCTTTCATCCTTGAGAATCTCCTTCATGTCGCGGTGAACCTGACGCCTGTTCACGAAGCCATTGTGTTGCAGCAGTGACGTACGCTCAAATCTACGTTGCAGCGGTTAGAAGCCATGCTGGATGCAATGCACAAATTTTTCAACTTACCTGAGAAGCTGATGAACTCGAACAGCTAGCGCGATGCGATCTTTGCCCCCCAGCCTCAAGCACTCGGGAAGTGACATGGCATCTTCAAGAGCCATGGACGCTCCGTTCCCTGATGATGGGATGAAGCTGTGCGCGGCATCACCAACTTGAATGATGTGACCGCCATCGGAGTGCCACTTGGGTTGGGGGTTACGGCAGCACAGCTTCCATCGCACAACAGTATTCGGCGGGGTACTGTGAATCGCTTCCATAAGGACTGGATCCCAACCCTCCTTATCGGGCATGACATCCGCGGTTTGCTCAGGGGTCACGGTCGATGACCAGGACTCTACGGCGGTGCCATCATCCTGTGGATCTTACATTAGCCTGAGTTACAAGGTGGCGAGAAACGCATACCTTGTGCGTGATACCCAGGAAGATATGAGTCTTTGATAAGAGGAACACGATGTACATGTCAGGACTAGACTTCTGTCAGTGAAACCCGCGGTACCAGGACCATCTAGAGGACGTACGCGGTATACATGCGCAGCTGCGGTCGTTCAAGCTCGGCAATTGCTTTCTGCAAGGCGGGAGCATTTTTGATGTGGTCGGTCGAGTACATGACACGATCGGCGCAATATCCCGTGCTAACTGCGCGAACCGGTTTGCCCAGCGCTACACCGCAACTCCTAGAGCCGATGCCATCCGCCGCTATCACAACGTCGCCAGTGAAAGTGCGACCGTCTTCGGCATGGGCCGTAGCAGTTCCCTTGCCATCCTGGGAGTACTGTGTGATGTTGACATTGTAGGTCACGGGGATTCCCAACCGCTTGCACTGACCCAAGAACATCAAGGCAAGGTCTCTCCGACTCGCTGTCGGCTTGGCTCGAATGGGCCAGATGACATGCGTGGCAACTCCTGGGAGGTGGTGCTCGAACTCGGCCTTTGGGATGGCGAACTTCCCATCGCGTTGGCAGAAATATGTTTCAACGTCGAAAGCAAATTGGTCCCATTCCTGAAGCATCGTGGGGTACTCCTTCAAGGTGGCGTAACTGTTTGGGCCGAGTCTGATAACATCGCCTAGGCAAAAGACGTCAGTCGAAAACTAGAGGATAATCGTAGACAAATTGCACGCGGACCAGCCTCGGAGATGGCCTCCCCCTTCTCAAGTACTTGAACCTCATGACCCTTTCTCCAACATTCGACGGCTGCCTGTAAGCCACCTAAGCCTGCACCAACGATGACAACGTTGATTCCAGAAAGGGGGTATCGCACGACCCCGTCCACGATTGAACCACACTCAGGCATGTTTATTGATAGAAATTTGGTCAAAGTCTTGTCGGAAAACTGCGACAAGACTACTCCAGACTCATGTCTCGATTTCCAGAGCTTTATAGTTCACCACTCTTGAGCGTTAGCCAGTTCATGAGCTGCTTTACCCTAGGTAGCTTCATAGTTGAAACGGAGAAAAATATGCCCGCGTTGTCTTCACGGACTTGGATCGCAACCCGGGGCCGCAAATGATCTACGCGTCTCCTGACTGCCACGGACGGCATTTTCATCATACTGTTCGAGACGCGGGGGCTTCGCGGGTCGCAGAATCCACATTCAATGCAGGGATAGCCCTCCACCGCTCAGAACCCTTGGGTCAAAGGCACTCTACGAAATACGCCTGCGAGCAAATGGCTACCTGGAAGCAGGAACAACTTTAACGACTGCTTGAAGACGCATTCTGCCCCTATATTGAATGAGGAATAGTTCCCGCAACTAGTGCCCATGTTGCCGCTGCACTAGCTAGCATGCTCATGTCATGAGTCGCAGCGGAGCTCCGCCGCAGTTACCACCCGGTGGGAGGCGCTGGTGTCGCAGGCTTCTTCGCATTATTACAATAGCCCGGGACTAACTCCACTGACACTAATGATTTTCCCAGACCTCTCATGCCCCAGGTTTCTTGGTCTTTCAGTGTGTTCAACCCTCCTTTTTTTTCCCGGTTGAATCTCACACGACTTCGCGACAACGCGGACCAGCATAGGTGAATACAAATACTTGGTTCAGTGAACTTTGTGTTTGTTTCGGACCACTACTTCCAATCTAATATCTCGACATGTACAGCTTCATATGCATTCGCACAGGGAATTGCGCCCCCGCCGATATTCTTCACCAGTCCTCAACTGTAATTGCAAGCGCTCAGAAGTCTTGCCCCCACCAGACCGAGTCGTCAAGACAGCAATAGCGGCCAACCCGCTTGTATATGAGTCCAGTATGGAGAAGCAAACTGTACTTCCCATCTCCTCCTCGTCATCTTCATCTCATAGATCGCGGGACGAAGATAATCTGCTCTGCGAAAGTCTCCTCATGTCTTTCTTCCAGCTTTGCTCTTCCATGGCCATGGTGATTCATCAGTCGCGTGTAACGTGAGGTTGATCCCACTGCACCTGACTGGTGCTGGTCCGGGGACGACTCAAGCTTCGAGGCGCAGTAAGCCTCGGTATGTTGAAGCTCCTTCGAGGGGACATCTGGGCATTCTGCTTGGCCTCCTGAAGTCCCGATTCGAGGTCCGGATATCGGACCTTCTCGTCAGCGATCGAGTCATCATCACCCATATGGCTGAGCGACTCAGTGGAAAGGTTCGGTCGCGAGAATCTGTTGAAGGCGATGAAGGTGTCTCTGTCCCCTTCGACAGCGTTCGCGGGTGGCGGAACACGGACGGAGCGGCGGCGAAGCTGGACGGCATCCTCTTGGATCGGCTTGACGCCCATGTAGCTGTAGATGGCGCTGAGGATGGGAATAGAGAGGCCGTGGACGACGATGGAAAACAGCGCCAGCCAGTAGACGACAGGACCCATAGCACGGAGCACGTCAACGACCTCCTTATCGCCAACCGCTTCTGCTTCCGCCAGCTTGGGGAAAAGGTGGCGGGCATGCTCGACGTAAAAAGCAGCACCAACACCGATAGGACCAAAATAGCCCATAAAGAAGGCCTCCTTCCAATCTTTGATGGTGTTAGGCATCAGCTTGTAGGTCATCAGCACTGCGGGGATCCGACGGAACAGGAGGACAAGAGCGCCCAGGCCGAAGAGCCGACCGGGGCTGATCCCGGTAATATCCGAGTTGAACTCGCTCCATGGGATGATAGTGCCAAGGTACATGAAGCCGCCGAAGTTGAGCAAAACGTCGATACTGGCGTTGACTTCGTCGTGTCTCTTTTGCGCTTCAGCTAGGAACTCTCCATCCCAGTTAAGTGCGCTGCCGGCGACGAAGCAGGAAAGAAGGTCGTCGGTACCGATAGCTCCGGAGGTTCCCATCATGAAAAGCTATAACACTGTTAGATCTACTCGCTTTCAGGTTTCGGGGTGATACGCACGCCAATGGCAGTCGGAACGAGGACATAACTCTCGGAATCGATCCACTTTCTGGTATCTTGTTAGTCGCAGACTTTAACAACCCCCTACATCCGAATTGTGCGCACCTCTTGACCGAGAACTTCAAAGCATATCTGATCAGAGTTCCGAAGATGACGCCATATGCAATACTCATCAGGACGAAGTAAAGCCACGTCTCGAGGAACCAATTCTGAAGGGCGATTCCCACTCCACCGCCTTGACGGCCGACATCTCCTGCCCTCGGTAGCAGAGCACGTACTACCGCGTGCAAAGTGGAGTCACCGGTATGCAATGCTTCCTTCCCGTCCGCATGCCG